AGGTATCGGTCGCGCGTAGCTTTCCAATGGTTTCGTAGAATATGCCAGGGTTGTTTTTTATTTCAGTCATTTGGTATTCGTCCTTCATTTTAGACCTGTGGGGCAAGTTTTAATCTATCAATGAGTACAATTTTTGTTTTTCCACATGTGCTGTTAATATTTTTATATTATTTTTCCCTAATATTTCTAATACTTCGTAGAGGCCTGTGTATTCGTCATCAAACTTATGCTTTTTGGTTTTAATCATGTAGACAAAATCTCCAATTTCGTATTTTTGCGTTCTAATCCTTTTATCATAGTAATGCTTTGAGCGGTACTTTGAATTTTCTAGATTTTCAGCTGCTATTTTGCGTAAGTCTGTTAGTTTTTCTATTAATTTGCTGACATAGTCGTCATATGTTCCTATCGGAGTAGTCGGTTCTCTTTCTGAGGGTAGTCGTGCTAATTTCCCAAAAATCAATTCATATGGTGTAAATTTAGTGCTTTCGTGTATACTGGTGTTATAAGAGAACATTGCGTGTTCGAGCCATTCGTCCCATTCGCGTTTATTTACGATATAATGTTTAAGGTATTCTGTTAGTACATGGTGACTGCGTTCTATGGATCCGTTAGATTGAGGGTGGAAGGCTGAGGTGCGATATTGTTGTATTTTAAAATGTTTGGCAAATTTTCTCATTAATGAGCTTGTAAAATTTCTTCCTTGGTCGATTAGTATTGCTCTAGGGCTTCCATATTGGTATATAAATCTTCTCGTGAAGGCGATTTCTTGAGAGTTGGCATTGATTAGCAGCACAGCCATTGAATATTTAGTTAATTGATCTTGTATTGTCAGGATGTATTCGTGTCCTTCTTTAGTTATTGGCAAAGATCCTACAATATCCACAGAAATTTTGTCAAACGCGTCTACCGGTGTATCAGTGATAATCATTTCCTGTCTTGGTTTAATTCGTACAAGTTTCTTTTTTTGGCAACTTTCACATACTTTAACAAAATTAGTTATTTGCTTTTTCATTCCATTCCAATAGTAATTATTGCGTATACGCGCCAATGTTTTAGTTATTCCTTTATGTCCGCCCATGCTTGATTCATGGTATTCTTTTATGATTGTAATTCGATCTTCAGGTTCAGGGACACGTACGAGGCCTTGGCAAATCGTTATCTTAACTACCGTTCCAAGAAATATGAGTCGCATGATTGATCTTATACGGTGCCAGGATATTCCAATATTATTGTCGTATTGTGATATGCTCGCTTGTATTATTTTTCTTGTGGCCATTTCGTTTTTTAATTCTTTAAATGTTCGCGTAAGATCTGTCTCTTCGATCGTATGTTCGGTTGCTTCCTTTAGTATCATACTGAAAATATGTTTTTTACCCTTTTTCGTTATATAAAATATGTATATAATTATACAAAATATTTCCAATTGTTCCCTTAAAATTATTTGGCTTGCAATATAACTTTTGATTCATTAGTTTCTTTCCTATTTTTCCTTTCGTCATCCTTTAGGTATTTTCTTTTTCAGTTGTATTAGGTCTTTCGTTTTCGGAATTTTTAGTGGTCGTGATTTTGCATTGACCCTTGGTGGAGAAATTAACAATTCAGAACTGCTGGTATCGTTTGTGGATTCTCGTTCGAAATCGCGGTATGTCAAAGGCATTGGGGGTGAAGTGTGTCTATCTCTCTCTATCTCGTAGTCCATAGGTTCGGGAAAATGTGTTATGCCTTTTGATGTGGAAGGAATTGCTTCATATTCGATCGATGCCTTAGTTGTCGGTTTCGGGTGTGAACTGTGAGGTGTAGAGTGTAGTCGTGTGATTGTTTTGTTATCGTTGTCGCTTTGACAAGGCGGTGCTGGAATCTTTGTAATTGTTTGCGGTACGAGCTTTGTAGTTTCTAATTTTTCTGTTGGTAAAGTCACTTCCATCGGCTCTGGTAAGAAGGTATCTCCGTCGATAGTTCTGTCGGTATATTTCGCGTCGGTACATTGTTCTTTATTTACCGGTGTGGAGTCGGTGTGTGCTTTCTGGGCAGGGGGTAATACAGAATATAATTCTGATGAGGAACTATCATCAGATGATGGTGGGACAGGTTTCCTTTTTGTTTCGGGATTAGAGTCTATATTTGGTTTTTCTCTTTCCCGTTTTCGTGATGAGGGTACTGCAGAAAATAATTCTAGCGATGAGCTATCGTCCTGTGGGGGAATAAATGGTTGGGTGTTGCTTCCAGGAGAAGGATTAGTGCTTGATTCCCTTTTCGTTCGCTTGCACGAAGGTTTGAGAGATTTCTTGTGAGAGAGTGGAGGCGGTTTTCGAGGGAAAGGTGTTTCGAGCAATTCGGGGACAAGTTCTATGTTTTCATCTGATGAATCTTCAAGTGGTTTAATTTTCTTCCTTCTTCTTCTTCGTCTTCTTTCTTCAAAATTCGATGAACTGGTATGTTTTCTTTTTTCTCCTTTATATGTAGTTTCAGGATCGTCAGTGTCGATGTCAGATCCGTAGGTTGATATTGTGTCCTTATCGCTACTCAAGGGTTCTTCATGGCGTATTAAATCTTCATCGGAGTCGATGTATGGGGTTAATTCGTGAGGTCTGAGTTTCTTACGTGGTGCGGGGTTTCCAGAACTAGCGTTATTATCACTGATGAGAGGTCTCTTCATGTTAGGGTGATTCACTTTTTGCTTTTTATGATCCGCGGGGTCTGATTCAGTAGAGGTTGATAAGGGTCGCTTAGCTTCGAGGGGATATATGTTTATGATTTCAGTTACAGGTTCTGTCACTGGATTTCGTGATAATGCATCTTTTGCGTTCTTGTTTTTCTTGCCAGGCTTGTAATTTATTGTGTAATCGTACTCTGCCAATTTGAGTTTCCATCTCATTAATCGTGACGTAGGGTCAGCTATAGAGTTTAATCATATCAGCGGCTTATGATCCATTATTAGAGTAAACCTTTTGCCATATATGTAGGGTCTAAAATGTTTAACTGCATATATTATACAAGAGCTAGTAATTCGCGTTCCGTCGGTGAGTATCGCGT